AATCTCACCTCAACCACCTACAGCCCCGCCAAATGGCACAGCCAGAGCCCTCTCTCCCGGGCGCCGACCGCATCCGCTCCCTCAAAGATGAAGACTCTATATTCCAAGCCTTCGACGCATATCCCTGGACAAAAGACACAATGTTCCTCGTACGCTGCCCTTCCTACTTCTCGTCCATCCAGTCAATCCCCTCTCCCGCCGACAAGCTTGTTAACACCGCCAGTCCGGTCTGTCCGCCATCCTCGGCCCCCCAGACACACCCGGCTCCCCGTCAGACATGGCCGTCCACGCCCGCATCTTCTACTACGCCCAGCGCATAGGCGTCCAAATCGACTTCGCCAAATACAAAGACTGGCTGTCCAGACACCCGGGCCACACACCGCCCCAAGTCCTACCGGAAGAATACCGCTCCCCTTCCGCATCCTCGCCCTCTGAACCTCCACTCCCCTGGCAACAAGCCGCCCCCAAGGCCGATCTCTACGTCGACCGTAAAGCCGCAGCTGAGAATGCAACCGGCGACCAACCCAGCTACCCGATGGGCTTTGCCGAGATGCTCAAGCTGTTGCAGGAAGGGAAGCCCATTCCCGGGATAAAGCAGATTCCCAATACCGTTGTCAGGGATCCGGTAAGTCTTGAGCCAATTTTTGCAAAATCACTTGTACTCGCCTGGCAAGAAGCTCAGACTCATCCTTCGTCACAGTCAGTCAAACCCGTTGGTTCTCGGGCAGCTCCCAAGAAACCCTGGGAACGGGACAACCCTCAGATGGCCCCGGAAGTGAATCTTCCCAAAGCTCTCGACACCGAGTTTCCTCAACTAGACACCGAGGCTGCTGAGGCAACATCGGCAGCTGATCCCGTAGCTTCATAACATTCTAATGCGGCGCGTATCCTTTGTATTTTGTTTAAACCATTGTTTTGCATGGTGAACAAGGCGTTAGGACTGGCTGGCCTTTTCTTTCTTCCTTTTTTTTTTGTTTGCTCATATGGTCTCGATGACCGCAATTCAAGCCTTGAGACTGGGTTGAAAAACTGAGCCAGAATCATTTTAAAGAGCATACTTAATGGATGGGCTTATTACGTAGCTGCAAGGAAAACATCATACATCAAGCTTTGGCGAGTATTAGCAGGACTACACTGCGGCAGACATCGTCACATTAGGCTAAAAGTCGTAAAGCAAAATTCTTATATTATGCAAAGGCGATAATGACTTCAAGATCCGACTACACACATAAAGGTTTGTCTAACGATATGCCCCTGCAAATCGTGGTCCAGGACCCATACGGCTACCCATACCAGGCCCAACTCCAGGTCCAGGCCGCGTAGTGACGGCGTGGTTGGTGCAGAGCATGCCAACTCGGGATCCAAACTTGGAGCCCCGGAGAGAAACCATATGCTTTCGAATGTGGGCCGCCACCATCTCGCGGTGCTGAGGTGTAGCGTTGTTAAGAATCCACTGCACAAGATAATTGCCATACTGGTCACTCGCAATGTCAATCAGCGGAATTCGAGTCCGGTCCAAGCGGCCTTCACAGACCCGGTCCAGATATCGACCCAAGAACTCGCTGTTCCCAATCTTCAAACACTTCTCCACCACCTTGGAAGCAAATTGATCAGTGCTGTACTCAGCGGCGTAACGAATGACGTGATCAACAGCCCTGCCACGGTCTGGCGGTGCGCCATGTTCGCAGATGTGTTGGATACACCAGTTTCCGAATTGTCCATGCGCAACGATATCGATGTTGGCGAGGACTTCCTCAATGCAGGGGCGCTGTGAGAGAGTTAGCGAAAACGAAGGCAAGCGATGCTCGTCGAGCTACTACAAAGACACTCACCTTGTCTTCCTCCAAACAATTCTCGAAGATATTTTGAACAACCAAGCTGCCAGTTTCTCCCAGGGCTACTTCATGCCACATGCCGCGCAAAGCTTCATTAACGTATTTCATAATTTGAGGTGGAGATTCAGTCCATCGAAGCTCAAAGAGTTTCTGCCATACATGACAAGCATATCGATGTATAACTGTTTCAGGGATGCGGCGGAGAAGCTCGTGAACCATGATTGCCTTGTACTCTTCGGGGACCGAATCGAATGCCTTTTGGACTACATGGCATCCAAAGGGGTCCATGGATAAGTTGAGAGTATTGCCACGGATAGCCCGGGCAATGTTAATCACCTGCTCAGGGGTTCCGTGCTCAAAGCATCTCTGAACTAAGAAATTGCCAAATCTGTTTACCATCAGAGGATAAGCTTGGGCCACAATAGCTTCAACAATGTCGTATTTCTGGTCCGGTGTGCCAACTTTTAGCTTTTGCTGTAAGAATATGGAGGCTTGTTGATCATTATTGCACACAATCTTATCGACTATGTATTTCCAATTGCACGTCACATTACGATCGAGAAGACGACGATAGTTGAGAGGTTCAGTTGGAGGCAAATAGGTCGGGCCCTCGGTCGGAAGTCCCTTTGGCCAGAATGAGCGGGTGGTGTGAGAGGATGTACGGAGATGGCTATGTACTTACTTCGTTCTTCCAGTGAGTCTTGGATGTAAACTCGGATGCATGAGGAGACAGTGGAGTACCGACGGGCTGTTGCTGGTATCCAGCATAAGCTCCCATCCCCATGGCGCCAAGTCCAGGGGGCGGATGCATATTTGCAGAAGCCATTTGACCCCCAATTGCTTCAAATTGAGCCATTGGTCCATTCACAGGGTTGTAACCGACACTGGCAAAGTGGTGAGAGTTACTGGCTCGATGATCGTACCGGTTGGGTCGTCTGGTTGCGGATTGACGCATCACAAGATCCGGATCGGGGCTTAGGCGATCTCCACGATATCCTTCCATCGCTTGGTAGGACGAGCTCCCGTCGGTGAAACTTTGGTTGAACCCTCGTCCTCCCAGCCAGGTTCCTGGCTGTGGCTCAGCTGCGGCGCCTTGAAGAACATTGCCAGCAAATGATCCTTTGGTGGCTCCCCAAATGCCCTTGGTACGAGTGAAGGTAGTAGTAGACATGGCTTCACTGGTGTCTGAATGGTCATCATCTGTTGCCATCCAGACGCTGTCACGAGCGGTTGTGTCCATGCCTCGAGCTGCGTTGATAGCCTGCATTTCCGATTCACCTTTGATTGTGCGGATAGACAATTCCTGATCTAACTTGGATATTTTGTTCTGGGCTTGTGCTAGCTGAAGCTTTAAGCGAAGAACTTCATCAGAGTCGGAACGAGCTTCTTCAAGAGTAGCACTGGCTGGACGGGTGCTTGGTGCGGTAGACGAGAAACCATCCGTGGCTGGTGTGATTGGCAGGGAGTTACTGGAGGATGTGTGTCCAGGGAGTCGCTGGCACATGTTTCCCTCGTCATCTCCAGATTTGAGTGCCTCGTTCTGCTGGCTGAGCACGGCTTGCTGTTCCGATAGCCTTGCTAGGAGCTTGTCCATGGGGTAAGCTTCGCTCGTGTTGGAGGATCCTTCAGTTGTTGACTGCTGTATTTTGTCTCGTTAGTGAGTTGTTGGATATGGACAGCGACATGTGATCAACTCACCTTGGGAACGGCTTGATTAACCAGCTTCGACGTGGCAAGCACAGTGATATTCTTCTGACCAGTGGTGAATGGCGTGTTGTCCTGTAGACCACATCAGACGTGTTCGTGGCCGTCAAGGGGATTTGGGTGAATAGGATGCTGCATAGAAGAGGACGCCCCGCGTAGAGGGCAAACAACAAGAGGATCAGCAAGATACTTACACCGGCTTGGCTCACGGGTGATGGTCGATCACCACTTGTGCTCATGGGTTCTTCCTGGAAAGTGATGACTGGAATGCTGCCGGTTCGCTGAGGAGGTGAACCGCGTGATTCGGAGGAGACCATGTTGGAGCGTAGTGCAGCCACAACGCTGGAAAGTATTGAAAAGAAATAAATAACAAACGGCTGTGCCTATTTGAAGGGGACACAGGCAATAAAGATTATGAAGATTTCACTCAAAAAACAGACCTGTTAGATCGCAGACAGAGGTGATGTGGGAAAACCAAGACAGTGGTGCGAAGAAATCAGAAGAGATGGGGAACAAAAGGAAGAGAAAGGAAAAAGATGGTGTGACGACAGATGGCTGCACTAATATGCTAGATTGACGACGAGCTTGAAAGAGCGACCTGACAGAGAAAATGGCAAGTGCCGGCTAGTGTGAAGATGGCCTGGGTCATTTCCGGCATGCAGATTAGAAGAAAAGGCAAGATATATGGCGGCAAACGAGATACTAGCGAGCCTCGTCGCCGGGGAGGGAGAGTGGAGGGACAGAGAGGCGGAAGAATCGTGGAAGTGAAAGTGGAAGTGGAAGGGCAAGACGGAAGACCGGAGACAGACGAGGGGAGGTTTAAGCAAATCCAGCAGACTCGACCGAGCTTTAAGTTGACGCTAGGGCAGGCTGACTGCTATGAGCCGCAGCTGCTTACACCTGGCAAACCGATGTCGGCAGGTGCTCAAAGCGTCGATGCAGAAGAGGTCAAACAACTTCAGTACTTTAGTAGAATGCAACAGTTGCTTAGGCCATGAGACCCAACAAACGATCATGGGAGTGAATCAATCACCTCAATATCTTGTAGGTCAGCTTCAGACCTAATAATCCCGCAAAGAGTACTTCTCATGCTGTTCGTACTAGCTTTGGCCTGTTAGCGCCACAACTATTTCAACATAATTCACAACACGGCCAGCATCAACACTATCAAAATACCAACTTCATTTTGCATAGCCCAGTGTTTCAATATTTCCCACCCGTGCTCTATTATTTTGAGGATTCGGCACACGTCACGATGCTATCGACATATTCGTATTTTATTCGCACAATCGAAAATGTATGGGTAATTCGTACAGTATAATATACACACCCCACGAATGGAGGCCATCTAGATGGTATCGGGATTCTCGTTGAAGTTATTTTCAATCGCAAAACGACGCCTCTGTTTATGCGCTCACGTCATTCTCGCATATGACCCTCCAGTGCCGCCAGCCGGTCGTTTTATCGCTTCCTGCCCGGCTTCTCGGCTGCTCAGTACGTTAGCATAGGCTCTGCCCTCTCAATCGAAGTCTGTACGTACCAGGAGGGCCATTCTTCTTTTTTGGCGCGCTCTTTCCCCGCTGCTTCAACCTAGACATTATAGGTCAGAATCGTTGTCGTTACATTCAGGGTCTGAGTCGTTCGTGCAGCGTACTCTTCAATGTATTCAAATCGGTCTTCTTCGGCCTCATCCCACGTTGCTAATACAGGTCCAAATTCTCGTTTCACGTCCTTGATGGTAGCAACCTTTCTCGGATAGTAGGCGGCGAGGGCCGGGCCTTTTAATCGCTGCCGCAGGACCTTGTTGCCCATGCGCACGCCCTCCGGGTTGTATGTCGTCGCGAAGACCTGGCATTGCGCCTGCAAAATGTCAGATGGGTAGTCGCAGATGAGTTGGATATAGTGAATCAAACCTTCATTAAGTCTAGTAACCGGGCTCGTGGTACACTCATCTTCGCAATACTTTATAATTGCCGAGGCCGTCATGCAACTTTTCTGGTCAAGTTCAGAGTTGACGTTGGCAGGGAGCTTTGCCCTGTTGCTTGGACCCACTAATTACTTGATTTATCCAGAATTTTGGTTCAAAAAACTCGATTGCTCCAGAGGCAGAACCAATTGACTAGGAAATTGCAGAGACATATTCGTACTCCGTAGGCAATACAATAATAGGAATTCAAACAATATATACAAACACAAATACATGACCAACATACACACATTTACACATCAACATGTAACTAGATATTTTCACACTGGACTAAAAGAGCACGTGATCCATCACTTCTGATTGGCTACATACTTCGCTGTGGGGCCACCTCATAGTTTGGCAAGGTTGTCTTGCTACAATGTCTTCGATAATTTTCTTAAAAGTAATTTCAAAGCTTCATCATCGTTACCCTTTGTTTTTGAAAACATGTCGAAAAGACCCGCAGATGATAATGCCAGCCAAGAGAGCAAAAGGAAAAGATATAGCGGTTCTACCGACGAAAATGTGGCACCAAACATCAGAATACCTGGTCCTATCCCAGCCATGTTTGGATTGACGCCTTGGCTTCCTTCAGATATACCTTCAAGTCTGCCTTGTATTCCGAAGATTTTAGACCCGGAGCTTGAAGCGACGGTTTTCCTGCATCCAGGTCTGAGTGACCCTCTCCGCGGCTATGAACGTCTCGAATGGCTAGGTGATGCCTACTTGGAATTGATTGCATCTAGCTTGATCTACCAGACATTCACCTCTACTCCTGTTGGAAGATGTTCTCAGCTGAGAGAAATACTGATCCGAAACAAAACCCTGGCACAGTACTTTCGCGAGTACGGCTTAGAATCCAAGGCTCAGCTACCAGGTGACTTGAAGAAGGACATTTCACGCGGTCGCGGAAGTTCGAGTGACAAGGATATTATCAAGACCCAAGCCGACATGTTTGAGGCATACGTTGCCGCCGCTATTATTTCTGACCCTGAGAATGGCATGGCCAACACAGCATCTTGGCTCAAATCGCTTTGGGCCAGGACCATCAAGGACCAAATTGTGGCCAACGACAGAAAACGCAAGCTGGCTACTCAACCCAATTCCACAGAGCAGGGGAGCACCAAAGACATGGCATCTCACAGCAATCTAAGCGCCAAAGAGAAGCTGCGTATAGAGATTGGAGTTAAAGGCGTTCTCGTTCGGTACGAGGACATGCCCAGAATGGGCAGAGATAGGGACCTTGGCTTGCCTCTCTACACAGTCGGTGCGTATTTGGATGGGTGGGGTGAAAGAAACAAGCTCCTCGGCACGGGGACGGCTCTTGGGAAAAAAGAAGCGGCACAGAAAGCAGCGCAACAGGCGCTGGAAAATAAGAAGCTCCTCAAACCGTACGTGGCAAAGAAGGCTGCGTTTATGGAGGCCATGGAGGCCACCAAGGCTTCTGAAGAAGCGGACACAATGTCTTGATTGTGGAACGATGTCTGCGGTGTAGATAGAATTTGCTTGTCATGATACCCATAATGGTTACCGATTATTTTGCACAATCGCACAAAGGGGAGTATCATAGGAGAAGAGGACAGGGCGAAACATTCAGTACGGGGGAAATGAGGAGTTTTCCCCTACTGCATGGGTTTCAAAAGGGCCATTCCGTTTTCTCCTTTGCTCATAACACAGTTTGTCAGGTACTTGTCAGATCTGTTCAGAAAATGCATATTATGAACCGCAGCGACATATTCAATCATCCGCCACTTGCGTCTGCTCGAGTCGATATGTGTTTGTCGCATCGGAATAGTGCTATCCCGTGCGAGAAACGTCTGCCTACCATCCACGTCGCCATTTGCATCTCCACTGTCTGAATGCTCCAGGATGTCTGGTACACTGGCACAAAATGTAAGAGCCTCACTGAGATATGACATAGGGTGCTGTATTCCGTAAATACATATGGCATGGCGACCGTAACGGAATTGGGCATCCGCCTTGCTCTTCGCAGCAGCGGCACCGCAACAGGGCCACGGATCGACTCACGGTGAACCATTTACTCACAGGTTAGACGATAAATGCAGAGCGCCCGCCACCTCCGGAAACTGTCCAAGATATCCGAAGCACACGGCCTTTGTCATTCTAGAAACCATGTCGATAACGCGAAAGGTAAAGAAGTCCGGGGAACGGACCAATTAGACGTGACCGGGTGCCGAATTAGGACCAGTCTGGTCACCCGTTGACACACCATCCATCTCTAGCCTCGGTCGGGACCAAATCGCAGGCTGCACCTGCCAGTCTGCTCATGTCGTGCTTTTGGGCGTCCATCCACAACCCACCTGCTTCCGCAGTGGCGGCTCCAGGGGCCTCGGTTGACAGCCATCAATTGATCGACCTTCCCGTGCCACTCTGCTCTGGCCCATCCATCAAATGGCCTTCCTCAGCATCGCGGTAGACGCAAATTTCCTTCTGTCTCGATTGGACACGCGACGGCAACAAAGACATTCTCGGTGAGGCGCGAAAGCCTTGCGATTTCCGCCCGCCTGTCATTTCCTCCTCTTTTCAGTCCTATCTTTCCCACGGTCCGTCGCCTAACCTAGTCTGCTGTCCACCATTCACCATCCCTATCGGCGCGTCGATAGCAGCGAATGGCATATCGAATTGCCATACAAACCAGCCATCAAAAGCACCTTGCCGCTTCAACTAGCTGAGCTGCTCAACAAAACGCAGACAACATAGATATCCAGGTGCGGCAGACGCTGGGCCAATCAGTGTCACCATGGCCGACTCCGTAGGTACGTCAACTTACTGTTTATCAACAGATATTGGTCCTACCAGGATGCTAATCAGAGCCGTTGCTGCCATCAGATCGTGTGTTCGTCCATGCCCTCAACACAGTCAAGAAGATCCCCAAGACCGGCGCATCACGGCCGCCGCCATCCGATCGCCTCCGCCTCTATGGCCTCTACAAGCAAGCGATGGAGGGGGATGTCGATGGTGTCATGGAACAACCCACCGCTGGGCCGTTCCTCACAGCCGAAGAATTGCACAGGGAGAGAGACAAGTGGGATGCTTGGAACTCGCAAAAGGGACTTAGCCGAACGGAAGCCAAGCGCAGATATGTGGAGGCGCTTATCGAAACTATGTACCGATATGCCAACACGTCGTACGTTTCTTGTATCGATTTCCATTGTCGCCGGCAAGGTTACTGATATGATATTGCAGTGATGCCATCGAGCTTGTAACCGAACTAGAGTTCGTCTGGAACCAAATAAAGCACAACTCTCCAAGCTCAACCGATTCATCGCCGAAGGCGCCCGCGTCCAGCAAGGCCCCTCGGACGTTCCAAGAACCTTTGAGTGGCACCGATGGCCCTATGAAAATATTGAGCCCCATGAGCGAGCAAGACGAAGCTGAATTGCGATCTCAACGTATGATGGACCTGGACGATGCCGTGGAAGAAAGCCGAGAGCCAGAAAGCCAAGACCAAAAGTCATCGCGATGGCAGAAAAAGGTCGAGCGCGCCGTTACTAAGCTGTCGGCAGAGGTTGCTGCTTTAAGAGAACAAATTTCGACTGGTAGGGAGTGGCGATCAAAGAAAGAGCGAAGCTTTCCTGCGTGGTTTGGCTGGCTTCTCTGGATATTCCTAAAGCATTTGCTTGTGGATTGCGTCATTCTTTCCATTGTCTTGATATGGATGCGGAAACGCAAGGACAGGCGCTTGGAAGACTTGGTCCGGTCTGCACTGAAGATTATACGAGAATACGTCCGAAATATTCTGCCGTCGAGGTGAATGAACGAAATTCGCTACAATAACCAATGACGGCACAACCCACCACGCTTAAGCTTGCCACAAACATCGCCAGGGGCGATGGTATCAAGAGACGGGCACGCTGCCTGCAGCATCTATGCCGTCTAGCAGATGCGTCTCTCGGGGGCGCAAATGCGTAGACATTTCCAGCATGCCCCAGACGTAACACCAACGTTGGGCACGCTTCTGTCCACCCCTCGCCAGGACAGAAATACACATATGGTGGACGAACAGTTCAAAACCAGGCTCTACTTGTGCAGAAACGCTAGATCTGCCTCTAGCGCTCAGCACCAGGTAAGCTGTCTTTAAGAGGTGGGATCGTCATTCTGTTTAATAGACGACTCATGAGGATTTACATGTACAAGTTATACCGGGAGGTGATTGTGTTATCAGGCGTGCCCAAGGCTGAAAAATATAATCCAAATAGAAGGAACATGGCGCATGTCGCCCATCTACCAACCCCAGACGCAAATGAGCTCAGGCATGATGAAGTTATGCATGTTAAACAGTCCCCCCGTACCCAAGTCAACTCGGACGCCAGCCAGTTCTCCCATCAAACGGGCAACTCGACAGCCGCCGCAGCTGCCCACGGCCGTCAAACGCATCTGATTCCGTGTCTGCCCAAATCACTACCTCCCCGTGCCACCTGCCTTCTCATCTCCTGTCCTCTCCAACTCTTCCACTCCAACCATTATATAACCGAAACCACGATACAATTCCCCAAAAAAGAAAGAAAAAAATGTCCACCCCAAAACCACCAACGCCCTCGTCCACGGCAAGCCTCCAAAACGACATCCCACCGCTCACCACGCTCCTGCCGGCCATCTTCGTCCCCGTAACAGGCGCCTTTTTCACCCACACGCCGCCGCCGGCCACGCGCGCCGCCCAGATCCGCGAGTCCATGGCCGCGCTGGACGCGCACTCGGCCCACGTGCGCGCCAACATCCTCGCGCTGACGGAGCAGGAGTGCCGCCGGGTGTCGCGCGACGCCGAGATC